GATGTAACACCTCCATCTGGATTCCCTCCGACGAATTTTACAAAGCTTTTTAATGATATTTTGTCATAATTGGTTGAACTATTGCTTAGGGTAACTTTTTTTTTTTTTTGGTATTAGAGTGGTGATATAGGAATATTTTTTATATAATAATTACATATTATTAAATAAGTAAATGTATTTATCAACAACTTGTTGATTCGAGTGGAAGGAATTTAATTCTTTTTAAATAAAATTTTGAATTCAAGTCTTATAAATGAAAAAAATATGTATTGAGAGAGTTTATCTTTAATAAGATTTGATGCGGCTCAATTCTGAATTAATCGGATCCAATGTAATTATCAGATGTCGGAAGATTAATAAAAATAAATAAATAAAATTAATTATTTAAATAACATAAAAAATTATATAAAAATATAATATAAAAAAATTATCCATAAATTATTTTTAATCCTCTTTGTACGTGGCATAGAAAAAGATGGCAAAGTTTGAGAATTTGACTTTGAAGGGAGGGAAAAGTTGGTAGTGCAAAGTACTAATTTTAAGTAATTATCAAAATTTTAAACTTTTGTGGAAATAATTTTCTATCCTCCGCCAATTGTATTTTAAAAACCACCCCAAATTGTAATAATCCTTTTATCTTTCTGACCAAAATTTTGAAAATTTTGACCATTTTTTTATTAGAAAAAAAATGTTTTCAACATGTACTCAATTTTCACAAACCAAATGAACCCTTCATCCCTTCTCTATGGTTCATTGGGTTCCCTTAATAAAAATTAGAACCTTTAAATTTCAGCCATATATCTAACAAGATCCTTAAATTTTTTTTGTTCCAACAAACACCTACACTCATTTTTTTTTTTTTGAAAATAGGTAATGAAAACACCTACACTTGATACGCAAGACGGCAAGAGAGGAAGCAGACCTACCTACTTACATTAATGTAACATTTTTAAAGTCTGATAGTTCCCTCGTTGGCACAAAGTCCCAAACATAAAATTCCAGCTATCGCCTATTTTCAAAAAGAAAAAAAGACATAAAATTCCAGATGCTGCAAACATGGGATTTTAGGACCCACTATTCACACACGTGTCAGGCTGTTCTTCTGCATGCCATCCCCCTCCAACATTCCCATTGCCACCCTTCGACTTTCCTTGTTACTCACTCTTCTCTCCTCCCTCCCCCATTCTCTCCCCAACCGTCCCATTCCATTTCTTTCCTCCACACCTTTTCTTGTTTCTTGCCAGTTTTCCCGAACCGCTTCAGCAACCAACATCCATGGCTCTGTCCCTCAAGAACTCACCTCTGCTTCTGTTTTTACTTCTACTCTCGGCAGCTGCAGGTATAGGCAGAGCTGCTCGGTTGAACCAGTGGGAGTCTGCAATCCGGATGCCTACAGATGAAGATGAAGAACTCGGCACAAGATGGGCCGTTCTTGTAGCTGGTTCATCTGGGTATGGTAATTACAGACATCAGGTAATTAAAGTTTGTTTCTTACAACTTAAGGAGGCAGAGATTTTTTCTTTTGGTTTTCCTTTTCGGACAAATTCTTAGGTTCTGCTTGATCAAAACAGTACTGGTTTCTGAAAAGTGCTAGTAATGTTTTATACAACTGTGTTTTTAATTTCACTTAAGAACATGGGGAAAATCATTTTGGTTGCAAGGATAGGCGGATGTATGCCACGCATATCAATTGCTGAGAAAAGGAGGATTAAGGGAAGAGAACATTGTGGTGTTCATGTATGATGATATTGCAAATAATGAACTGAATCCAAGGTCAGGAGTCATCATCAACCATCCACAAGGAGATGATGTCTATGCCGGCGTGCCTAAGGTAACATTTTTTTTTTTCTCTCAATCACCATCATAGGCAAAAATATCTTAGAGATATGGTGCCTTAATTAAGATTAATCCCAGGAATCATTCTTTGATCATTAAATATTATAGTTTAGTAGAAAAAATATCATGGTTTGTGGTGGTATGAGCTGGTTGGTTAGCTTTTCATATCATGGTGTTGATGATGGTTGGGCCACTAATCGTGATTATTATATTCTAACCACTTGTCGGTGTTATTGGTGGTTTATGATTTGATAAATATTAGGACTAATTAAATTCACGATGCTCCTTCATTCATACATAAACTTCCAAGAAATATTTATTACAAAACCGACAAACTAATGTCTTCTGAAAGTGTAACTTGCCTGGCATCCAATATGAATTAAGCAAAGAAGATTCTTTCTTTATGATATTGAATACTAACTTAGACCCTGAAAAAGGACATTTATTTGAAATACCTTTTGGAATTTGACTAAACTAAATTACCTTTTGGTTTGATGATTAAATATATCATATACTTAACTATACTGATTCAAGCCAATTAAATCCAGATAATGAAGCTTTAGTACTGCTCATTAATATACTTGAATTTATAAGTAGTACAACATTGATTTGATATTGGATCATCATAATGTTAGGATTATACCGGCAAGCATGTTACTGCAGCAAATTTATATGCAGTACTTCTGGGTAATAAGAGTGCCCTGACTGGTGGAAGTGGGAAGGTTGTCAATAGCAAACCCAATGACAGGATCTTCTTATACTATTCAGATCATGGTGGCCCTGGAGTACTCGGTTAGTTGAATTGGATTAAATTTCATTGTTAGTTATAACCTAGGAGAAGGCGGTTTGGCCTAATTTTAATGAAATTTGACAGGGATGCCAAATCTGCCTTTTCTTTATGCCATGGATTTCATTGAGGTTTTGAAGAAGAAACATGCATCCGGAGGCTACAAAGAGATGGTAATCAGAAGTTATTTCCTTAATAATCCAACCAACTTTAGATGTTCTACTTCCTATAAAGTATATGGTCATTGACAGAGTATATGTGACATGAACAGGTCATATATGTAGAAGCTTGTGAAAGTGGGAGCATTTTTGAAGGCATTATGCCCAAAGATCTCAACATTTATGTCACAACAGCATCGAATGCACAAGAGAGTAGCTGGGGAACTTATTGTCCTGGGATGGAACCTACTCCACCTCCAGAATTTATCACTTGCTTAGGAGATCTGTACAGTATTGCTTGGATGGAGGACAGGTATGCAAAAATTCACATTGAAAGGCAATTTTGTTCATTGATTGTGATTGATGAGGTTGAATCATACTGAATTCCATTTTTTGTTGGCAGTGAGACTCATAATCTGAAGAAAGAGACGGTGAAGCAACAGTATGAAGCAGTAAGTTCTACATACTGAAATAACATTTTTATTGATAACTTGAGCTTTTTAGAAACCTCAACACATTTTCTTTGTGCAGGTAAAGGACAGGACTTCCAATTTTAATACTTTTATTATTGGATCACATGTGATGGAATATGGGACGACTAATATCAAAGCAGAGAAGCTGTATTTGTACCAAGGCTTTGATCCTGCCAGCGTTAACTTCCCTTCAAATTACTTGCACACTGGCACCATGGAAGCTGTTAACCAGAGAGATGCTGATCTTCTTTTCCTGTGGCATATGGTAATCTCTCAGGACCAATACCATTATAATTGTACATTTTTTTCCTCTTAAATTCAGTTAATTTACTCTGAATTGATATGCCTGAAGACTTGAAATAACATGATGTTGAATTTGTTTGGTATTCAGTACAAGAATTTAGAAGATGGCTCAGAAAAAAAGGTAGAAACAATGAAGCAGATATCAGAAACTGTGAAGCACAGGATTCACTTAGACAGCAGCATTGATTTGATTGGGAAACTCTTATTTGGACCAACGAAAGGCTCAGCTACCCTTAATTCTATTAGAGCACCTGGTTTGCCCCTTGTTGATGACTGGGAGTGCTTGAAATCTAAGGTACACCTCAATTTTTCTCACATCTACATTGCACTATTTATTTGACCTGTATTCTTCCTCGGGCATATATATAACTACTAGTCCTGTTTCCCAGGTACGCCTGTTTGAAACGTATTGTGGATCACTAACTCAATATGGCATGAAGCACATGCGGGCATTTGCCAATATTTGCAACAGTGGCGTTTCCCGGGCTTCAGTAGAAGAAGCTTGCATGGCTGCTTGCATTGACCATGCGCCAAGGCAATGGCACCCCTTGAACCAAGGTTACAGCGCCTGATTAGAACTCTCTGGTAGCCAAAATGATATCAATCCTTGGAAATTAGTGTTACGGTTTTGCTGTCACTTATATCATATATACAAAGCAGGTCTAAGATTCTGGATTCAGGAATCAGAATTCAGGATTTGGGCCTTGTATGTAAATTACATACAAAAGCATGTTAGGATTCTAGATTTGGGCCTTCAATGTAAAATTTCTTCGAGTTAGAGAAGTTCTGGACTGGGTCTGCAATATAAACTATGAAGCCATTTTCAACATCTTTTATAATTTTTATTTTTAATAAACACATTTTATAATTCAAAACTCCTAGACAATTTTAAATTACTAACAAAATTAAAATATAAACATAAGATTTGATGTTAATTTTTAAATTTTTTTACTAAGTTTTAAATTATGAAGAGTATTGATTAAAAGTAAACATTTTTGAGAATGTTGATAAAAAAGAGTAATAGGATTTGGCCTAATTAAAACAGCCTAAAAAGAGATGATGTGGTGATGGCTCAATCGATTGTTAGTTTAATTGGGTGCGTGAAGACAAACGTGATTGAATTTATTTATTATTATTTATCTCAGAAAGAAAGAAAGAAGAGATGAAGGTAGAGACAGATGAGTAATATTCCTGGACAGGTTGTAGCAATATTCCTTGTTAAGTTGTGGGGGGGATTGTGATGATGGGAACAAATACCGCAACCCAATCCTCGTCAGAGCAATAGTTAGAGCTACGTTCCTGCCTATTCTCCACTATTTAGAGTCTTAGCAGATTCTGATCCTTGGAAAATTCTGTACTTGAGTTCAATTTTGAGAATTCTATATCAGTTCTCTCCTTTTGCTTACCTTTGTCCAAATCTTTATTTTTTATGGATACAAATTTCATTACAATCTAATGAGTATACAATAATTTTAACTAATTAATATCTAACGCATCACAATACAATTAAATTTATTTACTTTTGGTAAACTAATATAAAATTAAATAATAACTTACATGAACTAATGAGGGGTTGGATCAAGTAGTAAGCGGCTTGTTCCAGCTTAAGCAAGATCTCGAGTTCGAGCTTTTGTGTATGCAGCAGCTCCCGCTGGGAGACTCGCACACCATTTTAAGGTGCGCGACGCGAGTTGGATCCGGATTAATTAAGGCGAAACCTCGGATACCAGGCGGGAAACCAAAAAAAAATAACTTACATGAGTCAAAGTTTTAGATTCAAAAACTTAAGGTGTTAGAATCTCATCTTAATTACTAAATCAATATTGCATTGGTTTATTCAAATCTTTTGAAAACGCAACAATATGAAGAATCTTTAATTTGTGAATTGTGATGTAATATTAAAGTGCAGTCTATATAACTACCGAGAATGGTTGATTGCTTAGTTGAAATATATGAGACTATAGAGACCTAAGTTTCTTTTATTAGTTTTTTTTAGTTTGAACTCTCAAGAAGTAGATGTTAAAAAAAAATTTTCATTATTTTATTAATAGTGAAATTATTGAACCGAAATTCATCATTAATCATTAACTTAACAATTTTTTTAAATCAAAGCTTATTAATTATTAAAAATTTAAATTTAAAATAATAATAATAATAATTAATTATAACAATTATATATCAATTACATTTAGGTTGTGTTTGATAACATGTATTTGTCTTTGGAATGTGTGTTTTAAATATATGTATTTGAAATACATGTATTTTAAAATACATTATTTGGATTGAATAAAAAAAATAAATTTCAAATATATGTATTTTTAAATACATTGTTTGGATATATTAAAATACTATACATTTCAAATTGAATTTTTCTTATTAAGTTAAATCTTATTTTAATCATTATTTAAATTTAATACGATCAAAGTTTAACAATTTTAGCCTTCTAAAGCATTATTTAAATTATTTTGAGACAAACAAATTCGATAAAAAAATTGAACAATGACCTCTACTAATCAATTTGTTTTCATGTTTTTCATTTTCTGTTTAATTTTTTCATTATCATACAATATTTAATTTCTATAAGGATGGACTAATTATAAAAGAATTTCACTATAAAAATTAAAGGAACAAAATTGTATCTATAATAATTATCAACTATATTTGCATAACAATTAATGTTTTGATATTCCCTCTAACGAACGTAAATGATAATTTACAATCAAATTATCTTTTATAACCCCTCTAAATATTGCCTACAAGGTTGAAGAATAAAGTTAACTCAACGTGAGCTTAAAAAATAAGAGAAAAACTCAACAAATTAACATAAATCAACATTAAGTATACACTCAACCAAAACAAATAATTAAAAATAAGTTTATCAATTAATCACTAAATTAATCATGATCAAATTTATCATTAATCTAAATTTAGAAAGAAAGCCAATCAATGATATTTTCTGTTGTCAAGAGTGATTTTAACAAATAAAATTATTTAAAATTATCATTTAATAATAATTGGATTATCTTGGATGTTTTTCGTGGAAAACTCAAAACTTTTGAAATTGAAATTCGTGATATGGAATTTAAAAAAATCCCCCTCATTTTTTTAATATTTTAATATTGATTATTTTTGGTATTGTATTTACGGATTTACCTCATAGATCTCACCCACTCCATCCCATCCATCTCTGCAACCTCACCTAAATCACCCCAAAATTTACCTTTAATTGCAAATATCAAATTTGGGTATTTCCTCTGTAATTTGCATTTTTTCATGGTGTTTCTATAATGGCTGCAAAACCCCATCTCTTTTTCAGTAGAACAACCCCATTTCTCCATTTTCTTCTCTAAGCCCACATTTATTAAAAAAAAAAAAAAATCCCATCTTTCTTCTTCGTTTTCTCACAATGAGTAGTACCCAGGCACCCAAATCTTCAAAACCCACAAAGCTGTCGCGCCACTTCGTCTTCCTCATCAACCTCAGCAAAATCCTCGTCTCTTTCTTCTCACTTCACCATGGTAGAACTAAAGTAGCGCATTTTGACTTCCCTTTCCAAGCTATCGGATCGAGACACACGGGATACGCAGCAAATGGCCATGGAAGATCTGGAGAAGATTATCCAGAGCCTTTCCCCAGACAAGGTGGGAGAGCAACAACAAAGTTGATGGTGAACAGAAGTGACGATGGAGGTTTCATCGCCATTTGCATTCAGAGAAAATGCAGAGTAAATTCACTTTGAAATTGAAATTCATGAGTTTGATAATGAATTTGAAATATACGAAATTTATCTCTATCAAATATATAAAGTAAAATATACGTATTTTATTTAAATTTAATTATATTTTATTTAGGTAAAAGTAAACAATGCTACTGAATTTGAAACGTCTAAATTCAAATACACCCTATGAAATTCATGTTTCGCAACATAGCATTATACTTTTATTTTCAAAGGGGATTCAGAAAGTTGCTAAATTTTGTTATTTCTTTTATGGAGTATATAGTAATTTGTAGTAATGTAGTCTTCAACTATGGGGATGGCATCATAATTGGAACATTGGGAATTGGGTTCCAAATTCTAAATTATCTCTTTAGAATAACAAGGGAGCATTTCAACGTACGGTTTCTCTAATTTGTATTTTTAAGAATGCAATAAATATATATTTTATAATTAATTTATAGTAAAGATTATAAAAATTAATATATATTTTAATATCATTAATACATGAATAATTTTAATTAATTTATTTATTAAATTAAAATTAAAATTTATATTTTTAATAAAAATTAATTATAAAAAATATCTTTATTACAATTTTATTTTATACACTTAAAACCCATGATAGAAAATTCTTTGAAGATATGAGCTCTTTTTAATTTTTCCCTTTTTTGATGTTTTCGAGATATGGGCTCTTGGGCCTTGGCTTTGATCCACATGATAGAATAAAATTACGTAGGCTCATCTCAATAGACCAGATGAAATGAACAGCACATCTGCTTTTATGTGTCGACAATTCTGGCTCGTCACTTTCAAGTTTCAATCAAGGCATTACGCCCCACCTGGGTTGCGGCTGGTGGCATCGATTTTAATACCACTATAGTGCTATGTTTTACATGATTAAAATGAAGTCAATATCTTTATAAGTGGTGATCTCTTTTTGTTGGAAGTAAAAAATTTTAAATTTTAGTTATATGACATAGAATAGAAATAGATGAAAAATGTGAAAAAATTATCTCTTATTATGTAACCAACATAAAAAAAAAAATTAAGTCAATATCTTAAATAATTGTGTAAAATATTAAAGTTGTGAAATTAAAATTAACATTTAATTTTTTAAGATTTGGGCTTTTTTTTTTTTTCTTTTTTGATATTTTCAAGATATGGGCTCTCGGGCCTTGGCTTTAACCCACATGACAGAATAAAATTACGTAGGCTGAGCTCAACTGGCCAGATGAAATGAACAGCTCTTCCTCTTTTATGTGTGGACAATTCTGCTCGTCACTTTCAATCGAGGC